ATCGCAATGATAGACATCAATGAGGAGACAGAGGACATCAATGTGGCCACCATATGAAGCAGCTAATGGTGGACTCCATCCATTTTTACCTCTTTCCTGAAGGCCAGTCTTGTCAATCAGTTGTTTTACTTCATCTTTTAATCCTCTCCAACATGCTTCATTCAATAAAGTGCTGGTATTCTCATACCAGAGAGGATCATAAATATCTAATATAATATATCATAAATAAAGTTAATAATAATAATAATAATTACCAATGGGAGAACCATGAAGCTTCTTTAATTCATTTTCAGGCAACTATAATTATAAAAAAAGATTATAAAATATCAAAATAATTAATTATTAACATACCTGCTTCATTTCTTGTACATATTCATGACAAGTTATTTTTATGATTCCAATCTCAGCCAATGAATGACACTGTTGATTGGTTAATGGAAAGAGAACAGAATAAAGAAAATCAGGAATGGAATATTTTAATTCCATGCAGCCATTTTGAATCGTACAAAAATAAAAATCATATTCTGGAGCTTCAAGTGCATCAGCGATTAGCTTGTGAAAGAAATATAAATCATTTAATGTGTAGTCGTCTCTGGCAACCTTAGCAATCATTACTTTAGTGCCTGGAACATCAGAAAGACCAAACTCAATTGAGTCTGCAATTTGAACTGCTGGAGTATTGTTATTTTTAAAATAATCTTTTAATTTCTCACGATATGTAGACCACCTCCTCTGTAAATCTATCTCATCAGTAATGAAAGTATTGACTAACTTGACGACAAGTTCAAAATTGAACCACGAGATGTATTTCCTCAATACTTTAAATAGCTGACTCATTGAGTTAACATGGTCAAACTCTTTTTCAATTGACTCAATCATTTGGGCTTTACGGGAACATGGACTGAGTAAAAAAGCTATATAATCTTGAATGAAATCGACAACTTCTGAGACATTAATAGAACGAAATGATTCTTTAGTAAAATGCATATTATCAAGATAAACTTCTTGTAGACTTCCAATCATTCGTTTCAAATTTACAGGTAAATGTTCAATTGATTTTTTCTTAATGTAAATGACTGAAGACTCAGATTGAGGTGAAGTAGGAACTGACAGCTGAACAGTTGGAGTAGCTTCTGAAATAACAAAAATGATTATTGATTATCATATTATATATTTACCTTTAGAAGATGAAGTATGAACTGGTGATGTAGTAGCCTCTCTGCTACTAGTAAGATTAATGGTATATTCTTTTGCTATTTCATCAGCTAGAGCTGGATCAGCTCCTCCACTATTACTTTTAATGGAGTTACACAGCATTCTTAATGTAGGGACGCCATGACTCTTATAGTCACAGTCCTTCTTTAACCAGCAATCAAATACTTTCCGTAGACAAG